GGCAAGCCGAAGATGTAGTCGATCTGCATTGGCGAGTATCCCAACTCTTTCTGGATAACAATCCTACTGAACTGTAGTCGGTCCATTTCACAATCCCCTTGCATCTCAAAACGCACAGCGTTCCTCCTGGAACCTGTCATGTTAGCAGTCATTGTCGCCATGGTGGGTCTGGGTGAACCACCTTCGTGATCATGGTATCTCCCCTGCCAGGTAAGTATCTAGATAAGAACATATTTTTTTTTTTTTTTTTTTCCTTTTATTTTTCCTTACACCACCAACTTACATTTCCATTTGCTCAAAATTTCATTGAATACTGTCCATATTTCACAAAAACATGCGGCTACATTTAGAGTAATGTTTAAAAATGACTTCATTTAGCAGGGTGTTCCTTTTTTCTCTTCTTATTCTTTCTTATACTGGACCTTCATTTGTTTTGTATAAGGTGGTACTTTTTAAGACACCTCTGCCTAACTACAGTGAACTAACCTAATAATATGCTCTGGTCGTCATTTTACAGAAGTTAAGGTGTCACCTCCATGAAACCTACACCACTAACCAGCATCAGTCCTACAACTTCACTCTCAAAATTAATAAATTTGGGGACAAGCAGAAACTGTATTTTTAGAGGTGCATTTTGTGGCAGGCCAGACTGCTATTAAATGCTCTCCTAAAGAAATAATTCCTTTGTAGCACCACTTCGTCTAGGTTCAGAAGAGATGTCCTGGATATATGTGATAATGTAACACATTATAACAGTTTAGCGCGTTGGATTGTGTTTTTAAAGCAATTGTTACGTTTTTAAAGCTTTTTAATGTGACTGGTGCGATAGCCGACACCACACCTTCTTCTTACATACAACGTGACGTATGACGCACACGTCGGGTATTCACTTTCTAAACAACAATGGGGATAGAAAATATTGCTCGAGGTGGTTAATGCTCCTTTCGCTGGTTGCCAACCACCATTAAATAACAAGAAGAAGAAAATATTGATCTGCTTTTCTTAGTTTTGCACTTTTAAGCTGCAATTCAGACTCAAACAAAGTTGCAAAGCAGGAGAACAACATGGCCATCAACTATTCTGTGCCACAGATCCAGTTCGCTGCAGCACAGAGTGATGATGAGACCGTTAACATGTGCAACTTAGAAGTAGTCTGAGGTAACTGGATGTTCAATCGGGTTAAATGCAAGGTTGATTGGATTATATCTGAAGATCATATGCTATTCGTGATAACTCTGCTAGACTCCAAATTGCTCATCCATGCGGGAGTATTTCAAAATTAAATGAAACCACTTAACACTTTTTCCCTAAAACGGACTGACATGGAACACATTAAAGTTGGATTGACACCAGCTAATCAGTCTGAAGGTAAGTGTTTTTTTCACTTATTCGAGAGAAGTCCAAAATGCGTTCTTATTACTGTTTGTTTTGACTTTTAAGCTACTTTACCAGGATATTTTAATTCAAATGCTAAGACAAAATGTCAATATCTATGAATGTGGAGACTCAAAAGACTAGTAAGGTAATAGTTGCCAATGGATTTATGAGACTTGATAGAAAACTTTTGCAACAGGTGAATCGGTGAACTACCGAGGTTGCGCCCAAATGCTTAAAGCTGTTAGCTGGTCAGTGTTTTCAGGTGTGCTTGTACTACCTGTACGGTGCGGAGTGCTGACTAAGTCATGTTAAACCCATTAAAGCGTCAAGCTCAGATATCTTTTCATTTTTGTGCACTGTTCTCTTGTCGACACACATTTTCTGTTTATTGAAGCCTTTTGTGAATAATTTTGATCATGTAAAAACTGGGAATTGGTCCCTATTGACAATACTCTTATTTTTTGCATTGCATATGTCATTTAGGAAAGGTAATTGGTCACTGAACTTTTGCAACTGTGTGTATTTCTAAATTTTGTGGCTTCAGTGCACGGAAATTTATATTGTTCAGTTTGCATGTTAAAAGCCACAAACATGTAGCTAACTATAGGCTTTCTTGTGGAACTGAGAACTGCCCTGCCACTTTCAGAACATTTTCTGCCTTCATTCACATATGCCTAGGAATCACAGAACAAGAAGGGAGACCACTAAGGAGGAGTTTTATAAGTTCACTGTTGACCTCAGCTGTCAAGTTCCTGGATGTGGGTATGCTGCACAAAACTTCACAGCTCTTTGTGCCCCTCTCAGATTTCATATCAAAGATGGGGGGGGAAGTATTATGTCCATTTGAAGGTTGCTCTAAATACTTCAGTGTCATCAACATCATTTTCCAGCCATATTTCTCGAAAACATAAGTAGACAGTTCAGCAGTCAAGGCAACAAGAAATTGGGGGATTTGCCATAATACAAGGACAGGACACAGTTAATCTATTAGAAGACAGTTGACTTTGTGTCATTTAAAAATGCAGGCTAAAATGCTCTTGCCAACCAGCACTATACAGAGCATCATAGAGGAATTTCAGGATCTTTGAAGCTGTGCAATGCACGAAGCAAAAGTAGACACTGAATCTAACACCATTAACCTTTCGTTGGTAATGGTAGTACTAAGGTTGGAAATTGTGACAAACTGTAAAATATACTGTATTTTACGATGTATTTTTCAACTTTTCAATGCAAGACCTTGAGTTTGTATTTCTTTTGCAGTCCTGGGATTGATTTTCATCTTCAGACAAGGTCCCCAAAACTGCCTTTCTGTTAGTACTCAATCCTAATTGCAGGGTTCATCTTTTAGTGAGGACATATTTGTTGAAATAGCCATATAAAGTTGCTTTTCCAATGATCTCTCTCTCTCTCTTTTTTTTTTTTTTAGATGGCAGACCAAAGAATTTGAATGACACCATTACTCTGGAGCTTGGGAAAGATTTCCACTCCAACTGTCGCATGCAATCACAAGAGGAGACAGAGGTCATCCAGAGGACAGGAGAAGTATGGTTAGAATTGTTGTGGAGGCCATGCAAGTTAACTGCAGAAACCCTAAACGTGCAACTTGTGAAGAGGTTGCTAAGATCATTGTAAATAGATACCCTCAAACATTTGCAGATTTTACTGAAAAGGGAGAAAGACTGGGTTGTGGACGTTATTCACTACCAAGAAGCATCAAATCTAGAGTTGAACATGTTAATCAAGATAATACAACACATAGACTTCGTCAAACAAAGAGAACCAGGAATGAGGAAGACTTTAGTCCCAACAAATTAGATTATTAGCTGATCCATAGTAAGTACATCTGATGTTATGTCAGATTTTAAGTCCCAGTTTTGTCAGATAGTCGATTATTATTTTGGTTGTAAAATCATCTTGATTAAGCTGTTAAAAGTTTGATTTGAAATATAGCCATACATTTAAAGGAAGATTCTACTATATTACTTGATGTTAAAGAGAATGTAAAAATCTGATGAGTTCTGAATTATGATCTGCACAAGGTTTTATTTATTTATTTATTTTACTTATAGAAGACATGAAACACTACACATAAAAATGCTAATTTAAACCTTTGAGCCCTGATCTCAAAAACAGATATAGATATAATGCTGTCTGTGAAGCTGGAATTAAGAAATAAGTGCTCAAAGTTTTAAAAACATATTTAGTGCCATATTCTGTCAGTATGGAACATCATCCAATGTCATGTTGTTGGTTTGTTAGTTGCAGCTAATAGACTTAGATTAGTTTATGTTAGCTAACTAGTGGCAGAATGGATAACTCAGAGGAAAATGAATAACACTAAAACTAAAAATCAGTCTAAGGGATCACTTTTTGGGCCACACCTGTCTGCAACAATGAGTGTTATGTTAAGAAACCAAGGATATACTGTTCACTTTCACTGTCTCTCTCTTTAGGAGTAAGTGGCTCTATGTTGTTTGGCTATTTGAATTAAAACACAAATATCCACCTGTTAGTAGTCGTGTTCGGATTTGTAATGCACTTTATAAATAAGAACAGTGTGGAAAAGAGCCTGTTTGAGTTACCAGACTGACAAGCTGCAGCCCAGCACTCCAGCTTTTCCACACTAGGCCGAGTGTACATTAAATTCACAACTCACCATATTTACCTTAACTTGAGTTAATGGATGATCTAGTTTTGGGTTTCTTGTTATTGAATGCCCTTCTGTGTTTGTACAAGTAGAATTCTGTTAAATAATATTAAAAACAGTTAAATAATTGAGGAGAATCTTGATGTTCATCTGAATGGGCCCTAGGACATATAAATGTCATCAATTTATTTCAGACAAATTAACTTTATTAACAATGTTATACATCTGTGTTGTGTTTCAGCCCACAGCTCATTGCTGTTGATCTCATCTTTGCACACTGTCTCAGTAAAATAAGGTAAATGCAATTTTGTGCAAAAAGGTTTTGCAGAACATCTGGAATCGTGGGCTTATCTTGAAAGTTAATCCAGTACAACAGAATCCGTCTCAGTCATTTAGTTTTTTTCTTTTTTCAACACTGTCTGTATTTTATATATTTGTAAAATATAAATTATGAGTTAATGATGCAGTGTTTTCAGTCTGTGTTGGTGTCTCTTCTGATGTCATGTACAAATGCAAATGGATGACCATAGAAGAGTCAGAAGGGAAAAGTAGGATGATACTCTGTGAAATGCACTATACACAGGTACACACACACACAGGTCTTTATCACCAGTCTGACAGCTGTCGGTCCCAGCTGATTTCCCTCTCTCTCCGCTCCTCTCCGTCTCACTATAAAAAGGGAAGGAAACCACATACTCAATTTCAGGTTAGTTGTGAGCCACAAGGTTAATCTTCTTCTCTTTTAAAGGTTTATAGGTACTGTGTCTAGTTTGCTCACTAATCTTAAGGAAAGGTCCTCCTTGTGTGAAGTCAGCCTCAATAACATACAGGGTTTTTGCTCAGAACAGGCTTTTGGGAGATGATGCAGGATTGGTCTGGCTATAGAAATGGCAATGATTCTGTGTTACCTCGCTTGGGGTTGTGGACTTCCTTGTTCTTCCTGAGCATTTGGCATACAGACATTTATTTTATGCTTGAATAAATTAAACCCCCACTGGGTGAAATATGCTTTATTACAATGTTCCTTTGACTAGAGGCCAAAACCTCTTGGGAGGGGTGTTTAGCAGAGGGTACAGTGAACAGGGATACACTAGAAGTCCAAAAACTCAAAACCTTTCAGGATCCAGGATTATGACCAAGAAGAAACAAGCAAATAAGATTTCTTTTCTTTTAAGGGGTACATAAAAATTCATACTTTCATATTAATTATATTATATTTTTGGTTCTTATTTAGTGGGTATGAAAGTAAACAGTAGAAAGCTGTGTGGTGAAGATGCACAATTTGTTGTACATCTTCTGGAGTTTGTGGTTTCAACGTGGCAGTAAGATGAGGAAGACATGAGTCCATGGAAAAAGGTCAGTTAGTAAATATTCTGTTTTTGAAGGAAATGTTTCTATAATATTACATGATACAGCTCCAAATTAATTAGCTAATGACAATTTGATTCTTTTTACCATGATTTGCAATACAATCGACTCATAAAGGGTTTTATCAGGCTAAAAACATGTCAGAATCTAAAAAATGTGGACAAACTGAGCTGAGGTGTTTTAACCTCCTCTACATCCCTGTTAGCAGGATGAAGGTGCCCTCTTGTGTTGTGCATCAATTTTAAAATTAACCTTCAGAAAAACATTTTAAAGAAAACTTCACTGAGCTTTCAGCATCTTCAGCAACATCAGCAAAGAGACATTTGTAAAACCACACCGTGTCAGTTTGTTCACAGGAGTCACAAGAAGTGATTGTTTTTATGGCTAGACAGACACAGTAAAGAGCTCAATCTAACAAGACCTCAAAAACATCAAGAGAACATTTAGAACATGTCAAGGTACCACCTGTAATGTGTAACTGATTTCTGTGCATTGCAGAATGCCACAATAATGATGGAAACAAAAAAAGAAATGGAAACTAAAATACTGTTTTAATCCCACAACAGTATGAAAGGATTCAGTCTATTTCAGTTTAACAAACTCAGCAATGTCCCCATAAGAATAACAAAGCCAAAGTCCAGCATAGAGCGGCTGAGTGAATGTGGTCTGGACTCTGTGGAGGAGAGTCATGGTTTCAGAGACGCTGTAGAAGGACAAAATACCTGCTCTGTGATCCAGGTACACTCCTACTCTGGAGGAACGAGGACCTGAGACACGAGTTTGGATGTTGTTGTACCAAAATGTATAACTATTTTTCAAACAATCTAATGCCCAAGATTTGTCATTATGTCCAAACCAACATCCAGTTTCTACTCTGCTGATATTCTTGTACGCAGCTGCTACAATAATTCCTCCACCTCTCCACTCCACCTCCCAGTAACAACGTCCAGTCAGACTTTGTCTACTCAGGACCTGCCACCATCCAGTGAATCTGTCTGGATGATCAGAATAAGACTGTTTCTTTGTGGATGTTGCTTTTCTGTTCTCCTCTGATAATAACAGATATGTGTTTGCCGTGTTTGGATCCAGTGTGATTTCACGTGAATATTTTAAAAATTCCGCTCTAGTCTTTGGCTCTGCTTGTGGATCCGACAGTAAAACATCCACTTCAGTGACTGTCAGTGAGATGTTTGTCCATTCCTCTCTGAGAATGTCCTGTAGTTTATCTCTGACCTCTGACACAGCTGCTGTCACATCCTCAAAGTAGCTCAGAGGACGGATATTGATGCTGGATGAGTCTGTAGACTCACTGAGTGCTGACAGTGAGGGGTAGTTGTGTAGAAACTGGATGTGATCCTCTGTGTGTGAGAGCTGCTTCAGCTCAGCATCTTTTCTCTTCAGCTCAGTGATCTCCTGCTCCAGCTTCTCCTCAAGCTCTTTGACTCGACTCACTTCAGTTTCCTGCTGGGATCTGATCTGCTGCTTCACATCAGAGCTTCTTTTCTGGATGAGATGGATCAGCTCAGTGAAGATCTTCTCACTCTGCTCCACTGTTTGATCAGCAGACTGATTGATGGCCTCCACCTCCTGTTGAAGCAGCTTCACATCTTTCTCTCTGTCCTGGATTCTCTGCTGGATGTTTTGTCGACTCACCTCCAGCTCTCTCTGCCTCTCAGTCCTTTCTGCTGCAGCTGAGACTGTGTCGTGGCCTTTATGTTCATCCACAGAGCAGAGATAACAGATACTCTGCTGATCAGAACGGCAGAACATCTTCATCACCTCATCATGATGAGAGCAGATGTTCTCCTGGAGCTTCTTGGAGGGCTCCACCAGCTTGTGTTCTTTTAATGTAGGTGAATAATAATGAGGCTTGAGGTGTTTCTCACAGTAAGAAGTCAGACAGATTAAACAGGATTCGCGGGCTTTCAGTTTTCTTCCAATACAGAGACCACAGGCCACATCTTCAGGTCCAGCATAGCAGTGATCAGCAGTAGCAGCTTGGAGTCCAGTCTTCTTCAGCTCCTCCACTAAATTTGCTAAAATGGTATTTTTCACCAGCACGGGCCTCACTGTGAAGATCTGCCTACATTGAGGACAGCTTTGGATTTTCTTTACCTTCTCGCCATTCCAGAGTTTTGTAATACAGTTCATGCAGTAGCTGTGTCCACAGGGAATAGTCACTGGATCCTTCAGTAGATCCAAACAGATCGAACAAGTGAAGGTTTCTGGGTCCATTTGATTTTCTTGCTGCGCTAATTCCCTATTTTCTCTCTGACTGTCACATAGGTTTCACGTTCTGTGAAGACAAACAGCCTCTGTGCCCTGAAGGGAAACTGAGCTCTTTTTTACTTCTTGCAATCCACCCTTATACAGGGGAAGTATTAACAGTGTGACAAAGAGCGTGTTGTGACAGGCATGGTGTGTTATGCTTGACTTACTGAATACAGTAACAACTATGACCCAGTTAAACAGTTTACAGGAATTTAAACAGGAATTTTTACACTCAGAGCTTTAACTTTTAGCTCCTAACATGTGAATTGAATTGGATCTCTTATCTAGGAGGGTTTTGCAGTTCTGACTGACTTGTGGGGATTTGGGATTTAAGCTCTGTAGGATCTACTGAGGACTTTGATATGTCTTGGGTCACTGTGCTTCTGGCTGTTGTAACACAAGTCAGTGGATTTTTTGTGAGTCATGTCATTGTTTAGTGAAGTACATGGGAAAAGACAGGTTTCGAGAATGATTGAAATGATTGGTTCCCTTACTTTAACCTACACTTACATGTTAGTTATCTGTTTTGAATATTAATAAATATGACTTAAAACATTGTCTAATCACCTAGTCAAACTACAGAACAGCGATTAGAATCATACAGTCTATCTAAAAATCATTTTACATTTTTGCTCTGTCTTGCCTGCTTGGTGCCCTGCAGGCTCACTGAGGGCCCTCGCGCTCACTTTTCGCTTATATGTGTGTGATAGAATTCAGAAAGCAGATCGGTGCAAATTATAAGTCTATATCATAATGTCTTCAGTTTTTGTGTTTGTTGTAGGGTTGTAAACTTCAACGCGTTAAAGGGGGGACGGCAGAGGATTCTCTGGCTGGCTGGAGCGGGATCTAATAACTTGCTCGCAAAATAAAACAAAATAAAAACAAACCAACAAACTAGGGCTGTCAACATTAACACCCTCATCACGATTAATGAGATTACAAATTTTAATGCAATCAACCCATCTAGAGCGCAGAATGGACAAACTTTGGACAAACTGCCCAAAATGCGTTGACAGAGACATTTCAGGGATCTTGAGTCATTCTGCACTCCAAATGGTTTAATTGCGTTAAAATTTTCATTCTTCTTTCTGTGACGAGAAAGAGGAATGAAGGCGACCAGGTTTTTTAAATATTCTGAGATAAGGATCAGCTCTTGGGAGTTAAAGTTTGTTCCTCGCCTTTGCCTTATTTTTCTACATTAAGTTTATGTGAAATGTTTTATTGGCAGTTGTTGATGGTTCCATGTTTTTCAAAGTCATCCAATGTCAGTCAGCGAATGTACCAATTTTCAGGTAATTATCTGCCAGAGTCACTGAGTTTAATATATGCAGTATTTTCACTTCTTTATGGTTTTAACAGTTTCTATACTCTGACCTATGCTGTTTGTTTCTTGTTCACTCTTTCATTTGATTTTGTTTCCTTCTCATCATTTGATCTCATTTTTGTCAGGTGTGTGAAGGGAAGGGATCAGCTGTGAGAGAGCAGAAAGCAGAGGGAGTGTTTTCAGGCTTTACCACATTCCAGGACGAGGAGCAGCAGAGTTAAAACTCATAAAACAACCGTTTTTTAATCCTCTGCAGTGTCGTTGTTCCAGCACAGTGACAAATAAGATAAGAGACACAAGTCATAAACTGTAGGTCAGCAGACATGAAAAATATGCTTTAAAAACAACAGTAGTTACACAAACTATCACATGAGGAGAGTCACTCTGGAGACATCAACATAACAACAACAACAAAAAAAAGCAAACAGTCATTATGGGTTTTCAGTAAGCAGAACCTGTGCTCACACTCTGGACGACCATCAGTAAGCAAACATTTAAATATTTTTCTGTCAGTTTGTTCACAGCAGTCACAGTCTGTAACAATGATCCTGCATTAAGGGACCATGGGAAAGATAAGAGAAAAGAGTTTCCAGTTTACGAAAATCCTAAAATACTTCCAAGTTCAATGTACCCAGGATATCTGTCTGTTATCTGGATTCACGTCCCCTTTTTCCACGAGGATATGTGCTCACATGAAGCTGGTTATCAAATCACTAAGTTAAACCAGGGTTTCCACTGCATGTTCACATGAGAGTGGTGGCATTGGCACCATCTAACCAATCACAAACATTGGTATACATACTGTATACTAGCAGCAGAAGAGCTGAGTTTTGCAAAAGAAGAAAGATAGTTTTAGTTTTCATCCTTACAGCTGCAGCCTTAGTGGTGTCAGTGGTCTAACAGTCTAAGACCAAGTAAAGATTAAAATAAAATGGGGTTCATTTATTGGGTCAAGTCTATGCTTCAGCATAGCAGTGATAAGCAGGAGCAGCTTGGAGTCCAGTCTTCTTCACTTCTTCACCAAAACTGCTACAATATAGCACATTTAAAATCTGAGATAACCCCAAGTGTTTTACATTTGAGGCATATGACAAAGAACATTAAAAAATATCATGTTTCACTTAAACACAGATTCGAGTCCCAAACTTCTAAATTTAACCAATGATTCACAATTAAATAAAACTATGTTTTTCATAAAGCAAACACATTTACTGCCACAAAAACCTTCTTCATTTTTGAATTGAAGCAATGAAAGAATTTTCTAACTTCATCTTTATGTTCACGAAGGAAGAGAAACATGAAACATGTCAGAATATGTTTTTTCTTTCTATGGTCAAGCTGATCACAACTTCTGTAATAATCTTTAACAGGTTCTTGGCTAAATTGTGTGCTTAGGGTAGCATCTCTGCTCTTGAAATTTGATTTATCTGCCCATGAAAATTACGAACTATCGGGGTACTAGGTCTTTGACTCAGTATTTGAGTCTTATTTTGTATTCAGTATTCAGCTTTATGAAGATGTTTTAAGTTCAAGTTTATACAGTTTGGTCTTGAGTCCAAATCTTTTATGTCTGAGTTTTTTGTATTTCTACTTCTGTTGTCTTGTCTTTGTCTCATCCTTGTGTCTCTTGTGAGATTCTGTCATGTCCTCTATGTATGTTTCCCATGTCATGTCTATGTTTATTCCCTCTGTCTCATGTTTGTTTTCGTATTTGTGTCTCTCTCCATGTTTCTGGCTCCCTCGCCCTCCCACGTTCCTCCCCTTTGCGTTTCATCCTCAATCTTCACTTCATCCTTTGTGTTTCCACTTTCCTCATCACCCTTTAGTGTATACATTGTCTCCGTCTTCCTCAGCCTTTTGTCAGACCACCAGTTAATCCTCTTTCGTGTTCCTGTGTTTTCAAGGTATTTCCAAGTGTTCCAGGTTTTCATGTGTTAATTTTCCCACTTTAGGCTTTATGATTAGTTTCTTGTCTAGTTGGTTTTCTTGTTTGGTTTATGCTTGTAATCAGTCACAATAAAAGGCTCGCTTTTTGTTAAGTTTAGTTCTGCCTCTGTTTGTCTCCAACAAAACATTGATTCTTTAAAAAGGAAACTTTGTCTAAATTTTACAACTCAATACCAGTAAGGCTAACGATGAGATAATCAGTTTCCGAAGAGGACTAAGGACAGAGCCAGAAGCAAGATAATGCATAAGGATATTTAATTTCACACAAGAGATTCACAGACTTAAGCACTAACACACTACAACTTTTTCAAGGAATGTTCTAACAATAGTTGGGAAAAACGTGGGGTAGTGGACAGGATGGTGATATATTTTTTAAATATATTCTCAGTCTTTTCCATCCAAAACAGGGTTCCAAGGGAAAATGTGAAAATGTCTCCTTCAACTCCACAAGACTGGTTGGTAAACTTCCACACATCTTTAAATATCTTCAAGAAAATCAAGAGCCAATCCACTTTTCCACGATCAGGAAGAAATCCGCATCGTTCCTTCAGAATCCTGGTTTCAACTAACAGGCAGACTCTTCTCTCCCGTGTCCAGGCATATACCTTTCCAGGATTTTATATCATATCTTATTATATATGCTATTCAGACACATTATTATTATTGTTATTATTATTATTATTATTATTATTATTATTATTAATAATAATAATAATAATAATAATAATAATAATAATAATAATAATTCCCACTGCAGAAGAACTTTCCAAATATGAGATAAATATCTCCTCTCATCCTCATTTTTAAAAATTCTCATTTTACTCTCTGATGAGTAGTGATGAGTGACAGATGGTTTCTTCCACTGAAAACGCTACGTCCAGATGAACAGAATCAACCTTTTGAGTAATTTGCCTGCTTGCCTGTATTGGCCCTGTCATAAACCCACTTTTACAACTAACAGCTATTCCAGATTTTATGTGAAATTTTCAACTTGTGTGAAATCTCATGTGTCTTTTCAAGTGTATCATCTGAATGAATCTTTTCCCACAGGTGCTACAACAATGTGGCTTCTCACCTGTGTGAATTCTCATATGAATTTTCAAGTTTATCATCTGACTGAATCCTTTTCCACAGGTACTACAAGAATGTAGTTTCTCACCTGTGTGACTTCTCTGATGTCTTTCCATTGTTGGTTTATGACCAAATCTTTTTCCACAGGTGATGCAAGAATAAGGCTTATCACCTGTATGAATTGTCATGTGTTTTTTGAATGTCGATTGGTCTCTAAATCTTTTCCCACAGGTGCTACAACAATGTGGCTTATCATCTGTGTGAATTCGCATATGTCTGTTGAATGCTGACAAAGCACAAAACTCTTTTCCACAGATGGTACAAGAATATGGCTTCTCACCTGTGTGAATTCTCATGTGAGTTTTAAGGTTAATTAGCTGACTGAAACTTTTTCCGCAGGTATTACAAGAATATGGTTTCTCACCTGTGTGGATTCTAATGTGATTTTTCAAATGTATCATCTGACTACATCTTTTTCCACAAGTGTTACAACAATATGGCTTCTCATCTGTGTGGATTCTTACGTGAGTCTCCAATCCTGATTTCCTACTGAATCCTTTCCCGCAGGTGGTACAAGAATAAGGTTTCTCACCTGTGTGTGATCTCAGATGTCTCGTTAGGTTGGATTTATCATGAAAGGTTTTTCCACAAATCTCACATTTTGCAGACTTTTTACTTATTTCAGATTTACACTGAGTCTCTGACAATGGAGAATTTTCCACTCTGTTACTGTTATTCGTGTCATATGTCTTCTTATTCAGCTCCACATATCGAGTTGATTCTGAGTTGATGTGCTTACTTTTTTCCTGATCTTGACTCTCTGGTTCAGGAGAGCTGTGAGAAAGGAGCTGATCACTGTGTGGCTCTGAATCACTGTGGTCACCTCCATCATAACCAAGAGTTACAAGAAAGGTTTCAGTCTCCTGCTTCAATACGAGCTGCTCTCCCTCCTTGCTGGTGTAGAGTTCCTCGTGTTCTTCTTTAATCTGCAGAGTCCCTGGATCCTCCTGGTTCATAATGTGGCTCTTCTCCTTGTTATCCATCTGCTGGTCTGTGAAATCCTCTTCATCCTTACAGACATGTTGATATGGAAAATCTGAAGGGGTAAATAAACAAAATAAATGTCAGAAAATTTAAAAAATGTGATGATGTTGAGGCAATGATCTAAATGAATCAAGGGTGAGAAAGCCAAACTCCAAATCACACAGAGATTTTAACTGACAAAGAAAAATAGGAACCAACGGAAAGTAACAAATATTGAATGAACGTAGAAATGAGGGAACTAAACACAACTTCACTAATATTAAACTAGGATTAAAATATAACAATAACTAAAATGCATATATAACTAACTAAACTAACAACACAGACTCAGGATGAAGCCAATATATTTTTCCAGACCCGGATGCTGTTGAAATCGAATTTCTATGCTTACAGCGAAAACATGTAATTCTAGAACTTAAATGGATGACAGAACAAAATGAAACTTCTGGTGTTGGGTTTGTGTCTCTGCACGGGCACAGATTTAGTGTCAACAGCAAGTGGAAATGTTAAACTCGTAAAAATCAAGTGCGTGATAATTAAAAGAACAAGAAAAAGTAATGAGATAAAAGCAATGAGGCTCTCAGTCAAACATTTGACTCTTCTAAGTCTACACATATAGATATAATTTACTTAGTTCTCTTATTTTTCTGATAACAGATGACTGCTGAGTTTTTGTGTGTGTGTGTG